TGTCGGCACCTGTGCCGAAGAAACTGCTCCAAATGGCTGGTGTGGAAGACTGCTACACTTCTGCCTATGGACGAACGTCTAAACTGGGCAATTTCGCAAAAGTGAGTTCTTTTGTGAGACACTGGGCTGAATCAGTTTCCCAAATGTAGTCGGTACTAATTCTTGAATACCTCTTCACACGAACAGTTTTACAGGCGACGTATGCTGCAATTCTGCGTACGTATTGTTACTTAACACCGGACTTGTGGGAACACCAGAAGGTTGAGAAGACCCCGTTCCAGCTTTATTCAGATTACATCTTACATGGTTTACCTCGTCATGGCGAGACCCTTATCGAGCCACTTTAATTTGTTTGTGTAGCTGCAGTCATTGGGTAACATTGTATGTAATGTTGTGTTTTAACTTCGTTGTTAATAAATCGTTACTAATGAGAGGGGCAAGCAAGCCAAATCCGAACACATAAAGCACCTACTAACGATCACACGTACTGCTCTCGCGAACTCTCATAAACAATCATCCATCGGGCAGGCTGTTCACAGTTGGCATCACTGTCAGGACAGAGCCTGTTGAAGGTTGTTTCTGGCGCAAAGCCCAAAATCTCCCGGTCTTCCTGTATTCGATATGAGAAAGTTGATGCATGAGTACCAATGAAGTAGCGGGCATGTGCACAAATCCACTGAAACGCAAGCTAAATTAGTAGCACAAGAGTTACTTGCACAAAGTCTGGTTCGTTAAGTATGCTGAAAGTGTACAACTGTGAAGGACACACCTGATCGATAATTGACACTTCTCCGTCATTCAGCGACGTCTCATTCAAAAACTGCTCGACCCGTACGTTGGACGGCAGGAGGTCAGTAAGGGTGTTTACTTCCTCCGCAGGAGCATCAGTGCTTAGAAACACAGTTGAGAGTACTTGTTCCGCCAAAATAGCAGTAATCTGTGGAAAAAAAAAGCAGTTTAGACCTCAAAAAGTTCTTAAATTTTTCCACATTAGTAAGAGTCGACTTCGAAGCAAACAATTGGCCAACGCACGGCAGCCCGTGCAAAGATGCGTTTTTTGCATAGCCCCATGCAGTTTTTGTCGCTACCGGCATCGGTTTTTTCGGT